CAGTCACGTCCCATCCTATTAGCTTGATTATAGTAATTTCCATAATTTATAATTATGTTAAGCATTTTCCCAGTTACTCATATATTGTCTATGTTTTACTCACTATGTAGACAATGCAAAATGCATTAGAGAGGACACAGCTCTCAGTAGAAGGTTAAAATTACTTTTCTGGGTTAAATGAATGCTAAAAAAAAGATTCTAATACCTTCTTGACTAATAAATAGTCTCCATGTTTTGTGAGCTTAAATTCTTCTCTACCAAATTTGTTGAAAATATTCTTGGTTTTTTTTATGTTCCTTTATTTTTGTTTTAGCATGGGTATTTAATGCCAGAAATTATATACTGCAATATTTACTTTAATGTATTTCTCTTTATCACTGTGATCTCTGAGCCATATTTACCTATTTGTCCTATTTTTAGTGATTTTTGCATTATACCTTTAGCTCTTTATTGAATTTATTTTTAACATATAATAGGATTAAGAATTTAAATAATATTTTTTTCCTAAGTAACTTATTTTGTCAATGCTTAATCTCATTTTCTCCCATATTTCCTTATGATTTTTCTGTGTATTAACTTATTAAATTGATATATTTCTTTACATGCATTAACATTTATCACATTTATTTACCTGTTAATTGTTTTCTTGGTACTTTCCTGCTTTTCTAATTATTGCTTTATGAAAAATTATACTTTCTAATGGGTGTTGATATTCTCTAAGGCAGGTCCCTTATATTTTCTTTTAACAAATTTTCTTAATTTGATTTAGTTGATCTTGTTTAATTTTTGTCCCAGATTTTGACAAAAGTCATACTATCAAGCTTAATTTTCAGTGTTATAAATTTTTGTATCTGTGTGTGTGTGTGTGTGTGTGTGTGTGTGCATGTGTACCTTTATCATTAGAAGAGAAACCTAAAGCCTTCGTCTGAGGCTGCTAGATAAGTAATAAATCACTACATGCTTCTAAACTATTACTTAAAAAATATTTATCTGAAGAGTTATGTCCCTTAAGTCTGTGAAAGGATTAATTTCAACATATGGAATTTTTTAGTAGAGGTGTGTGTAGGCATGAGAGTGATTATATAAATTAATCATTAATCCAGTAGGAGAGGGAGAGGGAGTTCTTTATTTGAAACTCATGTTGCTTTCATATGGCAAATGCATTTATTTCTCTGTTTCGTGCTAAATGCTCAATATGATTAGCTGGTTTCACTTCCTCTATAACAAGGGGATAGTAATATCATCTTTGTCTCATTGTGCTTGTCCTTCTGTACCATTTCAGTGAGTTCCTCTATGGAATGTGTTTGGAAAAGCCTTTATCAAAATTTGGGGCAAAACACTACGTCTTGAAACTCCTGAAAGAAAGCTATAAATGGCTTTCTTTCCAGTCACTTTGTTTTCACTCTTTCAGATTATGATTATAGCCCAGAACTTGGAGTGAAAGACAGAGAAAATATATTTAGATAAACATTTAACAAGTAGATGCACCATTGTAGGAAGAGTTCTATAATAGAGGGATGAACAACAAGACATAGGTGTGAGGCTACTAAACCTGCCTGTTCATCATTGCAGGAGTTCAACAGAGGAAAATTATTATAAATAACAACACAAAATATAGCTCTGCTTTAAATGAAATAAGAGAAAATTTATCCTGAGACAAATGTGAGTGAGCAAGACCCAGACACATGGATTCAAGTTGCCTAGGTGACATGTTCTCAGTTAAAAAGGTTACATGAACTTTTATAGGTATGGAAAAAAGTCATATACCAGCATATATTCAACAAATACATTGGTGGAGCATTAGGTAGGGAGGCCACTGCAAAGCAGGGAAATCTATGGGTTTCAAATATTATAGTATTCTTAGTTTTAGCATGGTTGGAGGCTAGTGGTCTACTAAGCTTAACAATACAATCCAAGATGTCTATTTAATAGCTATGAGAATGTTAGGTCAGATACAGAGGTTAAAAATGAGTGACTCTTTTCTGAAGCACTTTAAGATAGGCCTAGAAAAGTTTGGCTCTAGATACAATACTCTGTCTTTCCACAATCACCATGTCCTACTCAGTTGAATTCAAATAGTCTACAGGACTTTTAATATAGATGTGGATTTTTCAGAGAACTTCAGCTCTACATAAGTAAATAAAAAGCTCAACTATAGCAGTAGAAGTTGTAGAAAACCACTTCAAAATTTTTCTAGAAATCTGCATGGAACAGAGTTTTGAAAGATGAATATAAATATAAGCAATCCATTACCAGGTGAAAAACATAGCATAATAAAATTTGTGTGTACATGAAAATGCTTGCCCTGGTTCTAGAGAAAAAGACTGTCCAATATGATTTAACCTGATGTACACAGTGAGGGAATGAAGTTAATTTTGTCTCTATCTTGGATAGTTCTTTTTTGAGACAACCTCTTTAACAAAAGGCAGATTAACAAAAGGAAAGCAAACAGCAATTTGATAATATGTGAGATTCATGTAGAGATGGAAAATACTTGAGTAAAAGTGAAAAAGAAAAATAAAAAGAGGTAAAAGAGAAAAAATAGAGTTAACTTTGAGTTTGCACTTAATATCATCTTCAACCTAAAGAATAGAAGGTTTTGCTGAGGAGAACAGGAGGTAGCCAGGAAAAGCACAAAAGACATAAGGAAACTTTGTGGTGCAGACCGGTGTTGGTGCCTTCTTCATTGATAAGAATCTCCAGTGGTTTTGTCTTTATTCTCCTTCTTCACAAATGAAGAAAACTTCACAAATGAAAATTCCCATTAGAAATGTAAACTTGCCTTATAGAAGTGTAATTTTTGCTCTGTTTTTAGTGCTTCTTCTCTACACATAATTTCTCAAAATAATCCCCATGCCACAGGGGCTTCTTTGAGGGGTGCCATATTCTACTCTTCTACAGTATGTTTTGGAAATAAAGCTAAAGATGAGGTAGTAATGGCCTTGTAACCCAATATTACTGATTTTGAAATTTGTCCTATGGGTAATTCAGAGGTGATGGTGCTGTAAAATGATATGATCATATTTATATTTTAGAAAGAAAACTAGCAACAAAATAGGAACTGGAAGCCAGGGAAACACTTGGGAATAATTTGTTCTTGCCAAATACATGTAGAGCTTTCCTTTACTTTCCTTCACTTTTCCTTGCTCTTTTCTGCTGAAAGAGGATTAAGATAGAGGAGCAAACAAAAATGAAGAAGGAAAGGAAGCTGAAAGAGGAGGATGGAAAGAACTCTCTGGAGCAATTCATATGCATTAGAAGTAGGAATGAGTAAGTGAAACCTCCCCTCCTCTCATTCTGAGATTTTATCTGGCACCTCAAACCCTAGAAACCAGTAGCTGCCACTCCTGATCTTTGATATCTTTCTCTCTTTTGCCTCTCACATCTCATCTTGTCACTAAATCCCTTTTAATTTTAAAAGCTTTCTTATTGCCCTCCCCTCCATTACCCACAAGAGCTTCCAGTTAAATCACCTAACCAAGATCTCAGAGGACTTCTCTTCTTCACTCTACTGAACACTGACTGTAGAGAACCCTCCTGAAACGATGATTTTATCATAACAAGTTTTTTTTAAATGTTTAAACTAAGCCTGGCGTGGTGGCACACACCTGTAATCCCAGCACTCAGGAAGCTGAGGCAGGAGGATTGTTGTGAGTTCAAGACCAGCTTGGGCTACAAAGTGAGCTCAAGACCAGTTTGAAACTACACAGTGAGATCCTGTCTCAAAAGGAACAAAAAAAAAGGTTTAAATTAGAAGAACAAAAGTCAAATTCTCAGAACAAATTTTAAAATTCCATCCCATTTACGATCGTAAGTGCTCTCATTTCTTGCAAATGGTCACAGTTCTCCTGAAAACCCCCTTGAAATCCTTATTCTTTGTTCTATGCAAATCAGAAACCTTTCAGTGCTTCATGCAGTTCAAATTTTAGCCTAAATACAATTTCTTATTACATATTTTTGGTGGGTAGGCAGAGCCCTTATTTCTTATACTAGGGCCTGAAATTAACTGAGAAAGCCCTCCTCATATTTTGACATATGGTGTATATTATGGATGTAAATGTTTGACAAATTCTCAAAAATAGAACAATATTTCCCCATTGGAGCATATGTGCTTCAATTCAACCAACATTTATTTCAGAGTAAAAATATATATGCCATTGTTCTAAACATTCTTAGGATATCATTGTTAAAGGATAAATATGTAAATATGTGCTCTTGAAAAGAATAATCAACACATGTTAATACTGGAAGGCTATATTTCACCTATATGACTAATAATTTTTGACTCTTTAAATAAGATACTTCTCTCTGTTGAGTTGGAGAGTTCTATACCTAGTTGAAATTGTAATTGAAGTTATATAAATGGTTTAGTGGCACACATTTCACAAAGAATCCAAGCTCAGTAGATACAGTAATATAATGAAGCCTTCACCGTTGGAATATACACTTAATCTTGATGTACATACTGCTAATTATTCCTTATATGGTGAAAGCACCTTGTTTAAGGTGCTAGCAGTTTGGGAAACGATAATCCATTCATCTTCTACATTTCCTTATACAAGAAACTGTACTGTGTTAAGATTTCCATGTTAATTTTTATACAAGGTAAGCATAATGTCTTCAGTTATTCCTCCTGAGGGAGAAGCTTAACAAATGAGTTATTAGCAGAAGTCTAAGAAATAGGATTATGAAGGGGACTATCTGTAAAGAAGAAAAGTATAAAAATAGACAAAATTTATGGCTACGTTACCTCTTATGTTTACACCAAGAGTTGTCTGCTCTTTGGAACTCTTAATAAACATCATCAGGAAAGGGAGTGGAAGGAACCAATAGCTCCATTACATGGAAAGCATATTTTTCCCAAGTATGAGAATTTTTTCCCAGATGTATATCTTGGCTATCACAAGGACAAATGAAGGATTTAACCTCATGAGAAAGTAAAAGTACTTAGTCTTTGACCAATGCTTTCTAATTCTTCTTTTTCATATCTTTAAATACAGAATCCCCTTCACCTACAGCTGAGTTTAGAAAATTCATTAAGTTCTGATGCTGATGTCACTGTCTCAATCCTGACCATGAACAACTGGTACAATTTTAGCTTGTTGCTGTGCCAGGAAGACTGGAACATCACCGACTTCCTCCTTTTTACCCAGAATAATTCCAAGTTCCACCTCGGGGCTATCATCAACATCACTGCTAACCTCTCCTCCACCAAGGACCTCTTAAGCTTTCTACAAGTCCAGCTCGAGAGCGTTAAGAACAGCACACCCACGATCGTGATGTTTGGCTGCGACATGGAGAGTATCCGGCAGATTTTTGAAATTTCCACCCAATTTGGGGTAACATCTCCTGAACTTCACTGGGTGCTGGGAGACTCCCAGAATGTGGAGGAGCTGAGGACCGAAGGTCTGCCCTTAGGGTTAATTGCTCACGGAAAAACAACACAATCTGTCTTTGAGTACTACGTACAAGATGCCATGGAGCTAGTCGCAAGAGCTGTAGCTACAGCCACCATGATTCAGCCAGAACTTGCTCTCATTCCCAGCACGATGAATTGCATGGATGTGAAAACTACAAATCTCACTTCAGGACAATATTTATCAAGGTAGGATGCAAAATGTGCATTACATTTCCTTTCATAGGGCTGTGACAGGAAGTAAAATTGTCCTATTTATCCTGTCAGCAGAAATCTTGACTCTGAATAGCCGTAAAATCTAATAATATTTCTGAGAGGGTCTGTGGTAACCCAACGCTAGTATTTCACGATATATCATCTGTACTTTGATCTATATACTTGTAAGTGCATGCATAGTTCAAGTGCTCAGGCATCCTTTTAAACCTTGTTTAAGCCCCCTGCTCACCACTGTGTTCTTTGTAAGTTACTTAAAAGCTCTAAGTATCCATTTTCTAATGAGTAAATTAATATAATAATTATTAGCTGGGTACAGTACAATAAATCTACCATGAAATTATGTATGTAAAGTAACTAACACCATGCTTAGCTCATACACATGCACGGCAAATATTTCTTTCTTGCCCACCCTTTCTAATATCCATAGGCTGAACACATTTCTCTAAATATATACAGAGAAAAAAATTAGTCACACAAGACTACAGGGATTTTTTTTCTCTACTCTCAGGCCTTAAGGCAATATAGTTGCTGCTAACTACCTGTATGTCCTGTCAAATTACTTTGTTGAGCTTTAGTTTTTTATGTTCTATACCTACTTGTGCAAAATAGATATTTAATCTATGGAATTGTTGTGATAGATAGATAGATAGATAGATAGATAGATAGATAGATAGATCATTACATCAAACTAAGAGTGCCACAGGAGTATTATCATTTTATTATTTTAAAGTATTATTGTTCTTTGTTTCTTATATAATTGTATAAATAATTTTATGGATGCATAGTCTAAGTAGAAGCCTTTCTGGCTTAGTACTTCAATCCGATTCAGAAGCTAGAATGAAAAAGTGCATTTAAAATAAAGAATAACCCATCAAATAGAAATGGTTTTCATAATTCCTGGGAAAGCAGAATAACCTTAAAGTATTTTTTTTTAAAGCCTAGATTTTCTTCTGGAAAAATATCACTGATAGTCAGAGAGGCCAAGTAGAGAAATGCTATTTCAGGGGTAAAACCTGGCCTATAAATCAAGTCTCATTTTTAGGGAGTCATCTTCAAAGACTGACATTTGACTATATTAAGACCACCAGGCAATCTCGGGGCTGGGGATTTAGCTCAGCGGCAAAAGCGCCTGCCTAGCAAGCGCAAGGTCGTGAGTTCGGTTCCCGGTACCGGAGAAAAACCAAAAAAAACAAAAAAAAAGACCACCAGGCAATCTCATAATGTCTTACATTTAAAGGCATGAATATTTGCTAAAGGTGGAGTGGGTCCTCAAAGTTTACATTTAATTTTACACGTGTGGACTGAGCACCCTCTGTGTGCAAGACAACATACCACAGTTAAAAATGGCAGAGTTAAACTGTAAATACCTTAAAATACGTTTTTAAGAAAACCTAGAATAGGGCTGGAGACATAGCTCAGTGGCATAAGCGCCTGCCTGGCAAGTGCAAGGTTGTGAGTTTGATCCCCGAAACCCCCCCCCAAAAAAAAAAAAGAAAAGCCCTAGAATAATACTAATGTATTTTTTAGGAATCTACTAGTGATAAAAGTAGACATTCTGTCATCATCAGAATTTTCCATTTTTCCCACATGTATTTGAATTTCCATAAATTTAAAGTGTTTGCATATTTCTATAGCTGCTACCTAGATTAAATCTACTGCTTGTAAAATAGTACATAACTTAAGCTCAGGATTTTATCCAAAACAAGAAACATTTACACAACAGACACATAAGCTAAGCTTTGATTTATAATCTCCAGCACTAACTTTAGAAGGACAATCATAAATAGCAAAACTACTAATGAAGATTGTAATAAGGTATTTAGCATTTCTCTGTCTCATATAAAATAGACATCACAAGAAAAAAGATCCTGTTTGGATCCTAAAAATGTGTAGAAATTACAGGGAAGCATATTTTTTTACTTAGGTTGTTCATACCTTAGGGATTTGTTGTGGTAAAATCAACTGATCTTTCTGGCTCTCTGAGATTCCATTTATATTAAAATTACATGCGTTTTCCACAAGGATCCCATGACACGCTGTACGTGAAACTGTATGACTGAGCTTACCTGCTTCTGTCCATCATTATGTCCATGTGTCTGACTTTTGAACTAGAGAACGCAAATTCTATTAAATGGAGACATTATTATTCAGCCTAGTCCAAAGCCTAGCATACAGCAGGCACTACTGGTTATTTATTGAAATTTACTAACACAGAAAGAAGGAAAGGAAACTTTTTTATTTTATTTATATCCTCCATCATCTGCTGCTGTAAAAGGAGATAATATTTGGTAGATAAATTAAAAATAGACACCTTTTTTGCATTTACTGTCTGGTTTTATTCCTTTACTTTTCTTTCCCTTTTTTCTGTTCTTTCTTTCTTTCTTTTCTCCTTTTAATAGAATGTTAGGCTACTGGACAACCTCTACGCTCATGGCTGGTTTCTACGTTTTTGTTCCACAAACTTTGAAAGCTGTAAAAGGAGAGAGTGAGGCTCGAAACCCAGCAGCAGTTCACGGTTTACGAGGGTCTTTGACAAGATTTCCATCCCCGTGAACGTGTTTGAAAAATGTACTCAAAGAACTTCAGAAATGATGCCTAGGACTTCTTAAACTCCCTGAGGAATACAGTCAAAGAGAAAGTTTCAAAGTGTTCAGGAAAGGGTCAGGGGCAGTGGGTAAAACGTAGAAGCTGTCTTTATAATGAATAAGTTAAAAGCTGCCTTAAGCCATAAAACATCTATGGCTTTTTCATCACCCTTATTTATTTTGTTTAATTCAGTCTTTTAGAAAGTTAGTTATTCTCAGTCCATAAGTCACATCTGCATATAGTAATTTTCTTAATTGTTCCTAAATTTTGTGAAGCTGACCCCGCTTCCTCGATGCATAATAAACACTGGGAGGATAATGAGCTGTGACTAGTGGGTGTCAGAGTTATGCAAGTTTTCATTTCTCACACAGTCATTTTCGGTTTGGGCTGACAGAATTGTTAACATTTTAAAATGTTAATGAAATCACCAAAAACATGGCATTTTTACTACAGGTTTTTAGACAAGAAAAATCATTTCCCGTAGCAAACTACACAGACATAATTACAGGTAAAAGGGACCCTATTCTTCCCACTCTCCCACATGCCAAAGCAAATCTCCATCATGTAGGAAAAACCATTTGAGGACCAAGTACATTGTGTGATCTTTAACAATTTATGTTGAAGCTGTCTTACTAAGTGCTAATTATTTGGAAGCATTACAGCTGGTGTATTATTTTGATAATATCACCATAAATACATACACCTGGGTGCTTTGGTTCAACCAGTGACCAATTGTTGAACTAGGGTGAGTAAAAAAATGAAGACACCAATCTTATCATTTTGGAGTGGAAAGCCTAAGGGATGAAGATGAAAAATAGCTAAATGAGTATAAAACAATAGAATATGTGCCTTTTAAAGAATAGATATGTTCAGATATAGAGAGAAGGGAATAGCTGATACTTCTTACAGATTTGGTGATGGATCTTAATAAATCAATAGAAGTTATCAGGCTTAAAGTAAATTCACAAGCATAGAAAAAAGCATATGTAAATTTATCACAGCCTGAAAAAGAAATTAAGCATGGTTGGAACATAATTGCATATGAAAAGGGTTTGCAGGGATTCTGGAAAAACAGTAGTTAATTTGATAACACACCACAGGGCTGCTATGACCAGCTAAGAAGTTTGCATTTTATATGCATGCTGGATGTCAGCTGAATGGCAGAACATTAGCTATGACATATTTATAAAATCACTATCCTATAACAAATTAAACAAATAAAACAATACAGCAAAAAGAATTGAAAGTATGTTTTTAAACAATTAGGATACAAAAATTACTTTTATTCCTCAAAATTAATTTTAGCCTTGTCTACATTTCCTCCCTGTTGTATCCTCAACACCAGACTCTTGTAGAAGTCAATAGAGGTTTAAGGATTTACCTACTGCTTCTAGACTAGGATATGCCCACGCTTATGTGAACTATCTGGACACTGACAGACATTGAGTTCTTGGTCTAAGACACCGCTGACACTTAGCTGGCTGATTTTATTTCCAATGTTATTCTAGCTACAAGTTGGGATGTAGAAAGCTGACTTCCTTCTTTGAGTAGCTTCTGGACTTCATTTCTGTATCCTGTAAGAACTGTTATCAAATAGTGATTAATTCACTCCAAAAATGCTTTTGAAGTTTATTAATACTAAGTGAAGTCCTTGCCCAGAGACAAAGAATAGAAGATAGAGGACTCTGCCATTAGAAAACTTAAAATTCCTTGCTTTTATTCTCACAACAAGAGAAGAAATACTCATCTAAGTATCCATGATTTTGTCCATTTTTCCTTTGATCAGGATATTTGAGAGACATCCCCATTTGATTCACAATTATCCTCTGGCACCTGCAAACATCTCTAAGCCCCTTCTTCAGCTGATGCCAAGGGATGAGCCAGCATGCAAAACACACTTTGCCCTCCAACCTTTGTTCATATTTATACTTAAGTAGCCAAGCAATACTAGGATTCATTGGCCTTTCGTTAATAGTAAATGCTTTATTTATTTTTGGAGACAGAGTCTTGATATGTAGTTCAGGCTGGCCTTGAATTTACTATGTAGCCCACGCTTACCTTGAATTCATAGTAATTGTGCTGCCCCAGCCTCCCAAGTGCTGGGATTACAAGCATGTGTCACCACACCTCACTTGCTTTAATTATTCATTTTTCATAAGAGTATATTTTAAGCCATATATGATGAGACACTCGAAAAGCTTCAGAAAAAAAAACTTTTAAAAAATCCCTTAAAAAAAAAAACAAAGGTATGACTTTTCGTGATGGTGTCCAATTCTTCCTTGGACATTAGAAGAATTCCATAAGATCTTGAGGCTGCGTGATATAATTCTAATTTTCTATTCCTGTCTACCATCACTATAATTTAGTAGAATTGTGACCCTAGCAAA